AAGGGGCACACATGAGCTCTAAACTAAGGACCTTCACAAAAATCTCAAATTCTAAGTCTCCATAGAAACACCTTTGTGGAGAGGATAACACAAATCTTTCTTCAGTCTTAGATGGATTTTTTTTTAAATGTTAAAGGCCAAATTATTGCAAAATGTCAACTAGCCAGGAAAGGCTTTGTGTGTAGATCTGCCTCCCAGGCAGGGGACTTGAAAATCTTACAAAGCCACACATCACACTATTATCTCACGGAAACGTTTTTCACCTCGAATAGGGCAAAGCGAAAGTTCTAACAGAAGGCTAGACAGACAGTACGGAACGATTAGATGAAAGCATGATTAGAGATTATTAGCCCAAGCATGATTCTGTTGCAATAACCAAGTAGGTAGTTTTTTAAAAGTTAAATAATGTAATTTCAGTTATAAAAAAATTCCACCTTTTATAATAAGAATTTTTGAGGTTGCACAGTACTCTTACAAACTACGTAAGATATTCTAGTAGTTAACAAAAAGAAAAAGATGACATGGTCTAGTCAGATTTGAAATTTTACAAAATCAAAAGCAGAATCAAATATGGAAAATCTGGGTTAACATCAATCAAAAGCCAAACTAATTGGTTCTTTTCAAGATTCTCACCAGATCTCAAACACTGCAAGATTACAAGTATTGCACTAATATGTGCTAAAATATAATAAATACCACGAGCTTAAAATATAATGTACTAGAATGCAAACCCTTATATACTCTGCCTTACTGCACTTTTATTGAATTTCTGAAAATCTTGCAACTTCCAAATAAGTAAAACAAAAACTCACACATACAGACCACAATCAAGACCACTGGTAGTTCCCATTTAAACAATCAAACACAATAATACAGGCTATATCACTGAAAGGCAGTAGATAAATCCATGCAAAAACTGAGAAAACTGATTACATATATGTGTATTATGTAGTCACATAATATTCTCAGCATTAAAAAAGAAAAGGATGCTCATATAGTGAGCTTTTGAAAGAAAGTAATCCTTCCTATGGATTTAAAAATTGGTAATTTGTTGATACTCACTGGAAGTTTAGAATATTTTCATTTATGGGTATGCTTAAAACAATACAATCATTTTCTATTCATCCAGGCCTAATCTTCATACTCTCAACAGTTTCAGAACAGGTGGGAACAGTGACCTGCTTTTTCAAGCATTTTATCCCCCAGACATGACTAATTTGAAGCTGAGCAAATTGCACATAAAGGGCCAGGGATTCAAGTTTATGATTTTTAGTAGGCAGCACTCTTGTTTCAGTGCACATGCTGTCCTTCCCCTCCCCTCTTCCACCGCCCCTGCAGCTGCCTCTCCATGAATTCACCAAACGTGAAATCAAAAGAAAATTATTTTTTAAATTTTCTACAGGGCTTATTTTTAAGGAGGATAAAGATTAAGCTGTATCTTTAAAAATATTTTCTTTTTCTTCAGGGGTTCTTAAACTTTTTTAATGAATTCTAAATACTAAAGAAGCTAGCCACTTAAGAAACCTCAATACATAAGAAAACAATCAGATACATGATTTTATTATGGCTCAAAGTTTTTACAAAAGCATGGCATAATTCGGTGAATTTTTAAATAACTCAAATTCTACTATCTAAGTTACTGCTTTTCACAGCCTTTTTACAAAATCCCATTAAAGGTTTAGTGGTACACAAATGCTGGCACAGCAAAAACAAACAGAACAAGGACAAAAACAAATAAACAAGTTTTAAGAAGGCTATTGGGGTAGGGAAGTATTTAAGCTTGCTAAATCAAGAGCCAATCCCTCTTATCTGCTTATTTAATGTTTAAATTTTCCCCATCAATTCTAGAAAGCTGCAACATATCTAAACATCACATAAAATTTTAAGTACTGAAAAATTCATACGATTTTGTAACCGAAAGGGACCTTAAACTCATTAATCTACCAACAAGGAGGCTGCCACCTATTGGTTAACTCATTTGCCTGGTCACTTCGGGGTGTGCAATTTGTCCTTGTCTGGTGGTAGTTGATGTTTGTTTTGTTTTTGTGTATATGTGTGTGGTGTACTTATAATCAGGAGTCTTGCCATTGAGATCCTCCTTTCATAGGCTGCAATGTTTCCTTTCATGGAAGACAACAGTGATCAAAAAGTAACATTATACATTCTGGCCAATTCAAAGCAAAGAGTTCACCTTCTCACTTGGCCTCTGCAGATGTACTAAAAAGACATTTCATAACCAGGGCACCGACCTTCTTACCCATTAGAGGAAATGAGCAATGAAGGAGCTCTCTTCTCACTGGAGATACAGGAGGAGGAGGTTTCTGAACTTGATTTCAACTTCCAATCCTACAAACAACTCCTTCAACTGCTAATTCCACTTGCCCACTTTGTTGGTGCTCCATTCTCCACTCAGTTTAATCCACTTTCCAGTTTGGGGACGTTTGGTGGGAACACATGTCGCTGACTTTTGTTACTGGTTTTCCCTGTTTGGATCTTGCTTATTTGAACAGCAAAAAATTACTCTCTAAATGGCTGAGATAAAAGCTAAGTCACTATTCAAAATGTTTAAGATAGACTGGATCTCATCTTTCCAGTGTTCTGGCGAGAACTGGGAACATAGCCCTGGCAACTGAGGAAGAAGGGAAACAAAGGCAATAAAATTATGTTAACACTTTACCCCAACAAGTATTACATATAGATAGTTTTCTCTCTAAAGGGAAGTTGGAACTAAAGCAGTTATTTATTGAGGAGAATCTAGTTACAGTTAGAATCTATCACTAACTTTTTGAGATTGTGATCAAGTATGGTCACTAACCAAGTTGTCTGGGAAAAACAACCCTGGGCACCACGTACTCCAGACAAACCGTGCTTTGAACAAACAATTGTTCTGATTCAATGGCAACTCTAATGTCCAGGAGCCACCATGAGTGCCCTTCCACCATCTCCAAAGTACTGAGATTCCAGAAATTATACCAGTTCCAGAAGTGCCCTAAAAAACGCTACAACAGTGGATAATGGGCACTTCAAAGCTAGAAGATTAGCTTCCTAGAAAAAGAAAAAGAAACACCAACAAACGCCAGGGAACTATGTGTAATGGTTCGCTGCTTGTGCAAAAACCTCAAAGAGGATGAAGGTCAGACAGGGATAATAGGCCAATTTAATTCTGAAAGCACAAGGTGCAAAAAATTTTAATTATGGTCTGCCACTGAAATCACACAAGATCCAATGGCATCTAACTGCAACTGCTCATCAAGGGAGACAAGAGGTGTAATTGTAACCGCTGCATAATCACTGTGAGGGCACAGGGAAGGCTGCCTTCGGCTCGCAGCAGAGAATGTATTAAGAGCCTCGAAAAATCCAATAGAGAAACACGGAGATTGCACGTAGCCCAACAGGAGCTCCTAACAGGAAAGCCAAACCAGAGACAGAGAGAGAGAGTGTGTGTGTGTGTGTGAGTGTGTGTATGTGTATTTGGTGCCTAGAGGTTCCAAGAATAAGATTAAGCTGTTTGGCCAAATCGAGGATAAGAGCTTGGAAAACTCTGAACCCCTTTCTGCTTTGTGGATTCCTACATAAAAGAAAGGCATGATCTCCTCCAGAAATTTCTGTCAGTGAAGCTTCACCCACTCTCCTTTGTTTAAAACAATTAGCTTGGATGTTATAGTGGCTTACAGAACCAGATTCTCTTTAATTTGTTCCCATCAAACTCAAATCTTGAGACAAAACGCCACACGTTTGACTCGAGGTGCCCAAGCCTGTGAGGTTCTCACGACCACGACGATGCCCGGACAAGCGCCGGCTCTCAAAAAGGGAACAACGAAGAAAGCCCCTTCGCGGACTCGCCACTCCGCAAAGTTTTACAAATCAGCGAAGAAAGCAAAACCTATCTGCGCCTGCTGCAAAGTTGGCGCAGAAGTTTGTGCTGGGATGTCCTAAATCTCCAGGGGGAGGGAGTACACGAGTGTGCGGCGAGGCGGGAAGATGGATGGAGATGGAGAGACGGCCAGAGGGAGGGAGTTTTTCCAAGTGGAAGATCCATGAGCCCGTCTTCTTCACCCGGAAGCCTGTTAGGTCCGAGAGGTCCGCGGGACGCACTCCAGGGGAGGTATCCCAAGACGGGTGCCGTGGCCAGAAGACGAAGGAGCTGTCACCTGCAGGGGCCTGTGTCTGGGGAGGGGCGCTCTCCTAGGCGCCAAGGAAGGAGGACCAGGGACTCCAAACTCACGGGCTTTCGGGGCTCCAAGGAGTGGGGGAGGGGAGATTCGCGAGAGGGCAGGAGGCCAAAAGCAACACCTTTCGGATACGCTTTTCCCGTCAGAGCTCTCCAACTTCCCGCAGCGCCAGCCAACGACTTTCTCCCACCGCACCCTACCCCACCCCACCTCCGGACCCAATGCTCGGACCTGTTCCCTCCACGACCGCGGGGAGGAGGAACTAGGAAGCCGCGGGCGCAAAGGTAGGGCCCCAAAATGCAAACTCTCACCGCCTAGCCGAGACGACCATACGCGTTTACGCATGCAACGATCCAGCCCCGCAACTCGGCTCCGGGTTTGCGCCGGGCGCAGTTCCCTGACTCTTCTGTTGTTCTCACTAAAGTCGACTACGTTGCCCTCCGGGTGCTGACTGGGAGGGAACCGAGAGGAAAAGGGGGGAACGCGGGAAAATGCGGGGGTGGGGGGAGCAGCAACCAACTTTGTAACCCAGCGCTTCCTCGCGCGATCCGTCGCCATGCTTAAGATTCCCACCCCCACCACCCCCCTCCTTCCTTTCAAGTGGATACTGAAACTAGGCCAAAACTTTTTCCCCTCCTTTTCTCTTAGCCACTAGACTGGATTGTGCCCCACGGAGCCCCATGGAGCTCTGCTTTCTTAAGCACAATAGCCGGACTAATTAGATCATAGAAGGAAGGCAGTGATACTGTAACAAGTAGCCCGAGAGGCAAAGAGGGAAGGGGCCCGAAAAGAGAGAAAGGGGGAAAAGTTTGCAGCTCTCACACTTACCAATCAAGCCTCCCACCAGAAAGGCGATGATTTGGAACACGAACAGAATCCCACCAACAATGCACAGCTTCTTGGTGCTCATGTTTTCTATAATTGCCCCAGCCATTTTTGCGCCCCCCTTTTTCTTCTCTCCTTGAAATAAATGTTTTAGGTGTGCTTTTTGCTCCCTCTCCTCTCACGCTCCCTCTTCCCTCGCCTCCTTTCTGGGGCGCTGCAAAACTTCAAGGGTACGGGAGCGCGGCGAGAATGGGACCGGGACGGAAGGCGCCCGCACAGATTCCCCCGGCACAGCCAGCTCGGGCTCCCCCAGTGCCCGGAGCTGTGATTGTGGCCGCTCCGCCGCCTGTGGACGCTTAAAGGAGCAGGGAAGCGGATCACATGACGCCGCCTCCCTCCCTTTCTTCCTCCCTCCCGCTCGCGCTTCCTTCCTTCCTCTCTGCCTCCCTCTCTTCCTCTTTGCCGGGCTTCGAAGCTCCGGCGGGTGCTGGCGTCCTACTCCCGGGTCGGCTTTCCCGCCAGGGACTGGTGTCATTTGGAGGTGGATGTTGCTAAGTGGGTCCCCCTTTCCCCGCCTCGCACATGTTTCCTTTTCTGGTGCGAGATTTAAATCACCCGTGGACAGCTTTGCAGACCTTTAACTTAACGTGTTGACTTTAGGAAATGGTCCCCACCCCCTACTACTAGAACTCTTATTTCGGAAAGAAGAGGAGAATTTTTTAAAGGGACCCAAAGATGCTCAAGTCAAAACACAGAGGTGCAGAGTAAAGTCTCGACTTAGTTTACTACTACCTGATCTGAGTCTCGGTTTATTGGGCATATACTCAGCTAAATCCTCTCCCTCTGCACCCCTGGAGGAACCTACACTCCAGCCAAGTCAGACCTCTGTTCATTACTGTGTTATCCCCCATGCCATGGGTTCCCTGAGCCTTGACCCTGTCACTATTGCCTTTAAGAAAGAAAAAAGAAAGTGTATATGATATTACTCTATCAGAGTTTTAAATCTCATTTAAAACCCAGCTCACCTGAAAAACCTCTCCAGTTTCCAAACCACCTCTATATACTATCTCCGGGAACGGAACTCCTATAATGTTTTGTTTACATTCTTAGCTGCTATCGTAAGGACTCTTGTGTCACGTTTGTCTCCATCACAGAGCTGTAAACTCCTGGGGGATAGGAACTGAGTTTTGTTCAGCTTGGTACAAGCACCCCCCACCCCTGCCCCTCCTCGCAGGTGGTGCCTAATAAACTTCTAGCTCTAATAGGTCCTCCAAAAACTTTTGTGGAATGAATAAGTGAATGTGAAAGCAAGCCCGCGGTTTGCATTTCAAAAGCCTAAGACACCTTATTTGATTTAGATGGTACCCATATTGAGTTTCAATGTTCGCTGATCTCTTTGTAAGGATGTATTTATGTTTATACTTAACATCTAAGGGAAGGGGATGAGGGGGGAACTGGACTCTTAAGAGATTTCCTGGTCTATCAAGCCTAAATGCACCAGCCTGGTTTTCCTATGTTTCATAAATTGGTTTCTTAGCTCAACCCACATTGCTCAGTAGACCCTTGATAACCTTGGTAACCCTCCACTCCGACATGTATTCAGTGTCCACACCCCACCACCCCTTACCCACCTGTTTCTTGCCCTTACCCTCCATCTACACCCTCTTCATGTCAAGGGAATATACCCAGTCCTGTCTTCTCCTCTACTCTGTTCCTTTCATTGCCCTTATAGAAGATGTCATGCAGGTTGCACTTAACGGAGGTATTCAATTCCAATCTCCACCTAGACTAGACACTCTTTAAGGGCAGGTGCTAAACTTTATGTACATAAAACTCTGTCTCTTCGGAGTCTGTTTTGGAGCTATTGTTACTATTTATTCATTCTTTCCTTCAACCCTTTAACCAATAGTCAAATATTGAGCCCTTAATATGTTCCAGTTGTTCAAGGAGTTAGCTTCAAAAATATATAAAGAACTCACATGCCTCAACAACCAAAAAGCAAATAACCCGATTAAAAAATGGGCAGAGGATATGAACAGACACTTCTCCAAAGAAGAAATTCAGAAGGCCAACAGGCACATGAAAAGATGCTCCATATTGCTAATTATCAGGGAAATGCAAATTAAAATCACAATGAGATATCACCTCATACCAGTTAGGATGGCCAACATCAAAAACACTAGGTACAACAAATGCTGGCAAGGATGCAGACAAAGGGGAATCTTCCAACACTGCTGGTGGGAATGTAAAATAGTTCAACTATTGTGGAAAGCTATATGGAGGTTCCTCAAAAAACTAAAAATAGAAATACCATTTGACCCTAGAATTCCACTCCTAGGAATTTACCCAAAGAAACAAGATCTTACATTCAAAAAGACATATGCACTCCTATGTTTATTGCAGCACTATTTACAATAGGCAAAATATGGAAGCAACCTAAGTGTCCATCAGTATATGAATGGATAAAGATGTGGTACATATACACAATGGAATACTATTCAGTCATGAGAAGAAAACAAATCCTACCATTTGCAACAACATGGATGGAGCTAGAGGGTATTATGCTCAGTGAAATAAGCCAGGCAGAGAAAGACAAGTTTCAAATTATTTCCCTCATTTGTGGAGTGTAACAGTGAAGCAAAACTGAAGGAACAAAACAGCAGTAGACTCACAGACTCCAAGAAGGGACTAGCCATTACCAAAGTGGAGGAGTGGGGATGGGCTAGTGGGGAGAGAGGGACAAGGGGATTGCGGTGTATTATGATTGGTACACATAGTGTGGGGAAGGTCATGGGGAAGACAGTGTAGCACAGAGAAGACAAGTAGTGATTCTGTGGCATCTTACTACTCTGATGGACAATGACTTCTGTGGGGTATGGGAGGGAACTGGATAATATGGGTGAATGTAGTAACCACAATGTTTTTCATGTGGAACCTTCATAAGAGTGTATATCAATGATACCTTAATAAAAAAAAATTGAAAAAAATATGTTCCAGTTGTTCTTTTCTAAACACTTTAGAATACCAAGAGGTGAAGACACTTAGCCCTATCCAGGAAGAACCCTATTCTAGCTGTTATTGGAGAAAATCAGATCAGATGGGAAGTAGCAGATGTGTTAACAGTAGAGATCAGAGATGTTTGACCCATACCCAAACATAGACAGACCAGCATAGGATATTTTCCTTTCTTCTTTACCTTTCCAGAAGGCTACATCATTTTTTTTTTCCTGAAAGGAGTAGTTTCCAGGGCATCATAAAAAAAAGAATGCCACTCTCACCTATGCTGCTGCTAATTCCACATTCTGGGTTCTCTGTCTCAGCAAATTGTCAAATTCCACACATTTGAATAATAATGATGGTTTTGGATTAGAATTTTTAATAACAAGGGATTTTTTTAAAGTAAGATTGGTAGGATTCAACCTATCTCCCAGATGCCCATGTATCAAGATTAACTCTCTATTTGATACCACGCTTCACTATCTAAAAAGAAATGTTGTCCCAGGCACTTCAAATATGGATTAGATCCACAAGAAATGCCTAGCTACTTGAATTGACTTAAATCATCCCTCTTTATTGGCTGTTTTAGTTACCCATAGTCAACAGTGGTCTGGAAGCAGATGATCCTCTTCTGACCTATCATCAGGTCAATAGCGGCCTAACACTAAGGCCGAATACCTGTGTCATTCATCTCACTTTATCTCATCATGTAGGCATTTATCATCTCGCATCATCACAAGAAAGGTGGAACAGCACCTTCACATAACCTTTATTACAGTACATTGTTATAATTATTCCTTCTTGTTATTATTGTTAATCTCTTACTGGGCCTAATTTGTAAATTAAATTTTATTATATGTATGTATAGGAAAAAACTCTGTGTGTGTGTGTGTGTGTGTGTGTGTGTGTGTGTAGTAATAAGTCAGTACTATCCATATTTCTGGCATTCACTAGGAGTCTTGGAACGTATCACCACCTCTCGCGCCCTGATAAAGGGAGACTGCTGTATCTGCTTAAGATTAGTGAGCTTCTTGACTCACTTTTCTAGCAACTGCTGCAACGCTCTATGCCCTTGGCCCCCAGATGCATCTTTTCAGAGTAACTGGCCTAACTGCTTAGGTTCCAGCTTCTCACCTGGAATTGAGAGGCTTGAAATAAAATACTGGTTCTCCATCAAGGTGATACCCTATTTTGAAGGGGCACTTATTATATAATCACCTAATTAAAAAGAGGTATTTCTAATTGCTAATTGTTGCTTCTAATTTGCATGAAATTACTCATATTGCCAAACTGAGCATGGGACAGATCACCTGTATTATTCACCACTATAAGCTGATTTAAAAATTTTAGAATTTCGATTATGTCTTTTTACATATTAAAAGTGACTACTGGATCCTTAGTTCTGAAGGAAATAACACAAACAAATAGTAAAGAGCATGAGTGAGTTGGCCAGATCTGGGATGGAGTCTAGATCTCAGCTCTGACCCTTGCTATTCATGATACAGGCTATAATACAGTCACTTAGCTCTCTGAAGCTCAATTTTCTCATCTGTAAAATGGAGATAATAATAGTTCCTGTTGTGTGGTATTCTTGCAAGATATGATGATAAGGAGGAAGAGAATGAGGATATTTAGGAACTAATAAAACTGATCATTAATTGGTTCCTTCTCAGCCCTAAAATTGTATCTTGTTATAATTATTTTTTGAAGCATAGTTTTGGAGCAGTCTGGGTGATTAACTCTACTTGACAAGGGTGCTAGTAAGGCCAACATCTAGTATTGAACTCTGAACAACACTCAGCTTTAAACACAGAAACATTCTATTCTAAAAATTGCTCCCAATCACCCATAAAACACTTGTTTTGAGTCATACGGTAGATTGTTCCAGAGACTGGGATAATCCAAAGGTGCAGTCCAACACTGCCAAGAGAAATTGATCTTTCCAGCTCCATTTCACTAGATTTTAAGTTGGAGATCCTGATTTATTTATAGTTTTATTTGAAGGGTTTGGCATGTGGAGGCCACACTGATGTTCAATGCATGTTTGTTGGATGGGTGAATCAATGAATGGATAAAAGAATGAATATTTCACTGAAGGTGGATTAACTACAACTTCCCCTCCCCCAATTCCTGTACCATTTACTGACTAAATGACTACCTGGTACACATATCCTGGGCTATAATTTGCACATATTTCTATATATGTGCTGTATTGTCAGCCCTGACTTGAAAGCTGCTTAAAAACAAGGAGAGTGTGACCTCAGGTTTGTCTCCTGCGCAGCCCCAACACAGCACCTTGTACAGAGTAGGTCTCAGGTCCTGGAGTTGAGAGCCTCCTTTGGAAGCCAAGGGCAGCGTGTCATTTTTGT